GAAAGATAGAAACATCAATGATGAGAAAGAATCATTGATTGGCTGCTTCCTGCTGGGATGGAGCTCACAACCCAGGCATGTGTCCTTGACTGGAATCAAACCCAGGACCATCAGTCCACAGGCTGACTCTCTACCCAATGAGCCAAACCAGCTAGGGCTGTTTAGTTTGTTTTTTAAAGTGACACACATAGCGCCTAGTTTCTTTTTATGCACAGTTTTCATTCCCCCTCCCCTCATCTACTCTGCCTCAGGAAGTTCTGAACTTAGACTTGAGATGTACATGACGTAGACAGTTGTACAATCCCAGAAAAATGAGAGATGTCTGGTGTAAAACTGAACTAAACTTGTGGTCTGGAACCAAGCTCATACAGAGTCAGCGTAAATCAGTCAATCCCAGTTTGACTAAAGACATATGAGAAATAAATGCTAATTTGCTATATGGCACTCGGATCTTGTTGGTTATTGTTTATACAAAATTATTCTAGCACTATTTGATTGAGACAATAAGCTAGATTCAAAACATGAAGGAAAGCCCTGGCTGGCAGCTGGAAGGCCCTGGTTCTGACTGCTGGCCAGGCCTACGTACCCTACCGGTGCAGGAAATTATTGCACCAGACATAACAAGAATTTTTTTTGTGTGTGTATGTAAGAATAAAACAAATATAATTGTTTAATATTTGATAACACTATATTTAGTAGACAATGCTTAATTAATATATAAGATTATCATTTAGTACCACTGTGGGATTTAGATTTTACTCAGCAGGTCAATGGTTTTTAATTATATTGCTCTGAAAAACTGGTATCTGATAACTATAAGAGTTCCCTGATAAATTAGAATAATGGTGGTCTTTTTTAGTATGCAAATTAATTTAAGTAAATTGATATATATTTCATATTCTAATAATTTTTCTCCCTACATATTTTAAATTTTGAGTGCTTGGTACAATGTTTGTGCAAGCCAACTGAAAACAAGTAAATGCACAAGTATTATTATTATTGAGAAAATAAGAAATACCAATTATACCTAGTTTGACAACTTTTAAATAGACATATGTACCAAAAATTGTAATATATTACACAAGCAAAATATAATATTTTCTCCCAGGAAACTTGTCCTAGGTCCTGTGATGGAATTGAAACTATTGATTCATGGATTTTTTATAAATAATACTAGTGGCCCGCCCGTTGCACGAAATTCATACACATTAAAAGGGGATTAATTAGAGGAAATATTTTAATATTGCTATTTGCCCTTTCTCTATAATAGAAGTGTCAGATATGAAAGAAAATTAATAAAATGTATATGAAAACCTACCTCCTGTCAGAGTCTGGGGCATGCTGTGGTACCGAGTCAAGTCCCCACCCACCCACATGCACTTCAAAATCGCGTGAGACCCAGACCCAGCCAGACCCAGCCCCATGGGGCAAGATCCAGACCCAGTCGGCCCCACCCCCATCAAGCCCCACCAGGAGGGGGCACAGTCTCAGATTCTCTGTCAAGCCCTGCTGGGTGGGAACAAAGCCTCAGGTCCCCCATCAAGCCTCGCAGGGTTGGGGGTATAGCCTTAGGTCCCCCTGCCAGGTGGGGGACACAGTCTCAGGTCCCCCAACCTACACCTGGCAGGGGGAACAGCCTCAGGTCTCCCAGTGCATCATGTGCCCCAGCCCGGTGCTGGGTTGGGGGTACAGCCTTAGGTCCCTCGGTCCGGTGCCAAGGCAGGTAGCACGGCCTGAGGTCACTTGGCCCGGCACCAGGGCAGGGGGCACGCCTTAAGTTCCTCTTTCAAGCCCCACTGGGCTGGGGACATGGTCTGAAATCACCCATGAAGCCTCGCCAGGTTGGGGGCACAGCCCCTCTGGTGCTGGGGTGGGGGCATGGTGTGAGGTATCCCAGCCAGGGGCAGGAAGAGCAGCCTGAGGTCTCCCGGCCCTGTACCAGGATGGGGAACACACCCTGAGGTCCCCCATCAAGCCCCGCTAGGCTTGGGGGTACAGCCTGAGGTTCCCCCATCAAGCCCTGCTGTATGGGGGCTGCAGCCTGAGGTTCCCCCAGCCTGATGCCAGAGTGCAGGACGTGGTCTGATGTCCCCTCTCAAGCCCCACCAGGTGGGGGGCACAGGCTCAGGTCCCCTGCTCCAGCCCAGCACCATGCGGCCTTAGGTCCCTGATCATTGCTCCTTAAGACTTGTTATGGGAATTTGATCACCGCTGTGAGTGTAGCCATCTTGTGTTATGAAAACCATGCCTGTGCTGTGGGCACCACCATCTTTGTGACAGTGTGACAGTCAATTTGCATATTCCCTCTTTATTACACAGGATAGTATTCTGCTAAAACAACACACATAAACAATAATTTGCAGTTACTTTGCCTGTTGTTGAGGACTGAGAATCTTTGTGGGGGGAAATAGATTTATTTGTCATATTAAGAGAGATCTAAGTTTGAAATTTTACCCTGGCTGCAATGTACAGAGTTTAACTGGAGGTATATAGATCTGTGAGACAAAGCACACCAGTGTATTTAGTAATACAAAAATGATTCCTTATCAGAAGCAGGGAACAGAGAAGAGTCTATAAATTAAAAAAAAAAATGTTAGGGAGTGAAGAGGTAACACATCTAGATGTAGTTGGTGAGGAAAATTAAAAAGAGTATTAATCTTACGTGTAAATGAAAATCACCCTGAGAGCTTAAGAAAAATGCAAACCTACTCCATGCTCCCATTCCCAAAAATTCTGGCTCAGATTTTCTGGAATAATGACCTAAAATCTATATTTTTAACAAATCTAATTTCTGATTCTGATTCAAGTGCCTGAGAGTCACATTTGGAGAATCTTAGAACATAGTATGCTCTCATCATTTGGCACCATTAGTTTGACTCTGCTATTTCAGAATTACCTAGCACTTTGCATGTTCCAGTTACTGGCAAGGATTGCTGCAGATGGGAAGCCACAGGGAAAGGATGTCTTAGCACCCTGGAGAAGGATAATGCCAGTAATCAGGAAAAAGAACACAATAGTAAATTGTGATATTGTAAGGAATGTAAGATAATGCAGTTTTGTTTTTTTTTTTATGTGTTGAATTTTGTACTTTTTTTCATTTACGGCTCTGAATAAACCTGTGGATTAGGGCGATAAGAAATCCAAAGAGCTATCTTATTATTGATAAATGCCAAGCTGGAAGCTAACATTAGGGGGTGTCATAATGGCCTTGCTCACACAGAAACCCAGCATTAAGTTGCCTAGTACCTTCAGTTCTACCAGCCAGAAGCTATTACATTAATCTGCTACTCCCAAGCGGCTAAAGACACTATCCTGTCCACACCAACTACAATAGTCCTTTACAAAATTTTTACTCTGGATCTGCACTTGTCATTTATAACACATATTTCAGCATTCAGAATGAGTCGAATTATTTATTTTGTTATTTCCATTTAAACCAAAGTGCTATGAGAGCAAGGGTCATATTTGTCTATTCTCTACTCCCATCATTTAGCCCAGTAATTCTAAACAACTTGTTGAGTATAAGCACTTTAAGAAAAGAGCAAATATTAACTTTGGCTTCTGGCTAGGTTTGTCCTTGTTTGTTATTATCTGCTCAAGCCAAAGTTCCATGCTAGTGATGTCAAACTTAAACAGGTAAGGAAAACATTATTCAAGATTATTGTAATGTCAGTGGTGGCTGGGGTTGTCCCTGGTCAGAGATAGTACTCTGTACCCCCTGTTCTTATCTTGCTGGTAGGAATGAATTCAAGCAAATGGCAGCAAAAGCAGGTGAGGATTTTTTTTCTTTCTAGGAAGTACACTCAAGACCTGAGTGGACAACTCACCTGGCCAAAACCACACCAAGTGCCCCAATACTTGGGAGTATAGAGGATTTATACCCCTAGGCTGGTACTCCCCTAGGCAAGCACGTCACCCTTTCCCTTATGTCTCAAAAAAATGTATCTTTAAGCCATAGGGTTCCTTCTCCTAGTTGTCACGTCCCCAGTTAGACCCAAAAGAGGGGCTTAGAATCTGTCCTCTTCACATAGGGGCCTGCCACCTCCACTGTCTATTTTCAGTTTGAGGTCTCCAGATATCCTCTCCAACCTCTGAGCTCACCTACCCAGAAAGAGACAAAGAACTGGGAGAAATTTTAAAAGTTGAAGAAAGGGGCATCACAGGCCCCTTCTGTTCACAAACTGGCCTCATGCCACGGAAAAGTTAACTTTTTCTCTTAGCTCCAAGACAGGCGGTGGTTTTACAACTTGCAACAAGGTGCCTGCCTCGGTTAGCCTCCTACCTTTCCAGACACGGGAAGAGAGGGGTGTTCTCTTCTTCATTGATTGCATTTCTAAGATGGCTCCCGGGTCCTGAAGACAGTCCTGGGCTGCACAACTGGCAAAGGCCAAACGCTTTTTTAAAAGATGTGTCTCTCAGAAGGGCAGGGAATGCATTTACAACGACACGTTTTCTAATGCCCATGCTCTCAGGAAAGGGAGGTCAGGACCTTAGAGGCAGGAAGAGACACCCAAAGGTTGTACCTGAGCTAGAGGACCGCCAAGGTCTTAACCACAGGTGGGCTGTGCTTCTGCAGCCCCACCCCAAGGAACTCAAAATGTGGGCTCGCAGCCTCCCCACGGCAAAGAATCGCCCCACACTTTCCTTTTGTTTACTTTTCCACCGAGGACCAAGCTAAGCACAGAGCCAGACGCCTCGCCCACGCGCAGGACACGTGCGCGGAGGCACCGCGCCTCTGACGTCACCGGACGCGCCCGCCCCGGCGCCTTAGCAACCGGGCGCGTCCTTAGCAGCAGTGGCTGCTGAGATGTGCGAACTTCCGGTTCCCCGGCCTCCGCCACCCCTGCAACTGCTGCCGCCGCCGGTGCCACCTGCCGCGGCCGGGCCTCTCCCCGGGATTTGGTCACGGCTGCCCCGTGCTCCGCGGCGCCCATGGTCCCCCCGGGAGCCAGGGCGGCGGCTGCGGCGGCTCCGGCGTGGTGAGAGGCGGGTCGGGGACGATGAGGGCCCTGCACCGCCGCTGCCGCCTCCTCGCCTCCGCCCTCCTGCTGCTGCTGCTCCTGCCGGGGTTCAGGGGGCCCGTGGCGGTGCTGCTGTTGGCGGCCGAGGCCGCTCCGGAGCCCGGGCCTCCCGACCGCGGGCCGCGGACGCTGTCCCCCCTCCCGCCAGGCCCCACCGCCGCCGCCCAGGCCCCGGGCCGCGCTCCGGCCGAAGCCGCGAGGCCGCGGGGCGCCGAGGGCGGCAATGGCAGCAGCCCCGGGGCGGCGCCTGCGGCGGATGACCTCGCGGGGAAGGCGGGGGAAGGAGGCCCCGTGGGCGGCGGCCTCGCGGTGAGCCCCAACCCGGGCGAGAAGCCCATGACCCAGCGGGCGCTGACCGTGCTGATGGTGGTGAGCGGCGCGGTGCTGGTGTACTTCGTCGTCCGGACTGTCAGGTGAGGCAGGCGCAGCCCGGAGGAGCCTTCCCTTCCCGCGGGGCCGGCGGGGGGCTGCCTGGTGACCTTAGGCGATGCTGCAGCTTCTCCAGGCCTGGAGAGCGGGCTGCAGCTCCGGGCTCCCGCTCTCAGGGGAGCCTGCCTGAGTGAGAGAGAAGATGTGAAGGTGACTGTCTGAAAAGCTCCTGGTGCTTTTGGGAGAATCTAAACCACCAAGGAGTTGCTCCCTTCTTATTTATCAATTAGTACCCCACCTCCAAAGCGCTTTACCTTGCCTCAAAAAAGGGCAGACTTTCCCTGAAGAGGCAGTAATCTTGTATTCAACCCCAATATATATATATATATTTTTTTTTAATACATATTTTATTGATTTTTTTTTTTACAGAGAGGAAGAGAGGATAGAGAGTTATAAACATCGATGAGAGAGAATCATAGATCAGCTGCCTCCTGCACACCCTTCAATGAGGATGTGCCCGCAACCAAGGTACATGCCCTTGACCAGAATCGAACCCAGGACCTTTCAGTCCTCAAACCAACGCTTTATCCATTGAGCCAAATCGGTTTTGGCGTTATATTTTAATACTTCTCTCTTTCTACTCTATATACTGTTTACTTGTCATTGTGCCTATTAGAACGCAAACTACATAAGGGCAGGATTCCTATTTAGTAGCATTTGGATTTGTACAGTATTGCCAACTTAATAGGAATACTAATCAATATTTATATGAGTAGATGCAGAGTGCCCTGTGTATTTTGTTTCTTATAGTTATGGGTTGGATGATAACATTTGGGGGATCATCCTTTTCACTTTGCTTCTACCTTATAAATTTTTATATATATATATATATATATATATATATATATATATATATATACACACACACACACACATATACACGCACACACACACACACACATATATATATATGTGTGTGTGTGTGTGTGTCTGTGTGTGTGTGTGTGGGGGCAAAAAGTAGGTTTACGGTTTTTGTATAGTTTTAAGTATTCACAACTGTAAACCTACTTTTTTGCCCACCCCATACATATAAATGTCTATTACCATTGATTTTCCTATTTTATTTCTGTAAAGCTTGGAAGGGTACAGTCTTTTCAGTCTGATCCTATTAGATAACTCACACATGTGTTAACCACCCAATTCTGAACTATACCTAAGAAAAACTGCACTCTTTAACCTGTATCTATTGCATTCATTCAGTCTAAATCCTAAATGTAGTTGTTTCCATGATGTCCAAAGCTTGATTGATGCTAACAATGATTGGACAATGTTCACCACTCATACTGTTTGCTTCCAGATTACAGAATAGAAAATACTCATTTCAATAAGTTCCCATTTTGGACCCCCCACATTCACAGTATGAGTGAGAGCAGATCAGCATTAGTTGATTTTGCTAAGGAGAGAGGATAAATCATAATTTCTTTAACTGATAGGAGGTAACACTGAAAATATTTTACTTGTAAAAAATACATAAAGCCCATTAAACTTCCAGATTGTTTTGTATTCATCTAATTCGGTTATATTGAATATGTGATTAGAAATAACTTTCACTTTGAGTCTGGAAATATTCCAAACAACAATTAGATTCTCTCTGTAGAAACTGAAAAATATATATGCAAGGCAGTAGGAACCCTAGTAGCCTGCCTAAAATGAATACGTATTTTCCGGTGTATAAGACGACCTTTGAAACGAAAAAAAATCAACCGAAAATTGGGGGCAAAAACCAAAATTGCACAAAAATTACCTGCAGATCTTGACGACAAAGTAAGTCTTTTCTTTGAAGTGTGGGGTAGTCTTATACAGCAAATATAGGCCTAAACCTATGTTTTAACTGTAAAATTAGGGGGTCGTCTTATACACCGGAAAATGCATTATATGATCTCTGTGAGAAGACACTCATTGTCTGTCTTATTCCCTGCTAAATACCCATCCTGAACATTATGTACAACATTATGTAGGCTCTGCATAAGTTGTTGCCTAATAAGTGAGTGTTCTTAGTGAATTCTGTATTTTGCTGTATAGGTAGGTGTTGAAGATTTGGAAATTTGTGGGAATCCAAAACAGGCATTCACCAAAGTGAGTAGTTTTGATCCTGTATTCTAGAAGCAAAAAGTATATGAGTTCTGAACATTGTCCTTACATTGTTAGCATCAATCAAGCTTTCTTCTTATTGATAGAACAAAGAAATATGAAGACTTACTGAATACCACTTAGAGTTTCTTTCTCTGTGTAGGGCATTTTTTCTCACAGTAAAATCTATTATAAAAGAAAAGATTACTCTTAGAGGGTCATTATTATTCTTCAAGCAAAAACCATAGGATTAAGCTCAGCTGAGGTGGCTCACTGGTTGAGCTTCGACCTATGAGCCAGAGGTCACTTTTAATTCCAGTCAGGGCACATGCGGGGGTTGCAGGCTTAATCCTCACTGGGGGTGTCTAGGAGGCAGCCAGTCAATGAAAATCTCTCTCTCTCTCTCTCTCTCTCTCTCTCTCTCTCTCTCTCTCTCTCTCTCTCCCCCCCCCCTCTCTCTCTCTCTCTCCCCCCCCCCCACCCTTCCTTTCTGAAGTCAATAAAAATATATTAAACAAAAATCCATGGAGTTAAGGCAAGCCAAATTGCTGAGATACCACATGGAGGACAGTCCAAGCCTGTAGCTGAATTTTCATAATGGAGAAATAAACTGTTAATACGTTAAGCCACTGAGATTGAGATAGTTACCTCATCATAACCTGTGTTATCTAGATTAAAAGACTTAGCCTCTCATCTTTTCCAATATCTTTAAAATCATCTGTTTACTTCAGAGGTTTTGCCATTTCAACATAAGCCCTTCACGGTTGTCAGAGCTTGGCAGGAGAGAGACTAAAGAATATCCAGGGGTTTTTGACTGCTTCAGCCTACAAATGAGTCTAATTGTATAAAGAGCTGGGGAGTGTGTGTGTGTTTTCCAGATTTGGTGAACATTAGTAATTCTGCCATATGAAGTGCGAATACTAAAGTTCATAGAGCTAGAAAGTGCCAAGCTCTTCCAGAATTTTGATTTTGAATTCTACTATTGGCATTCCTTCTATATTGTTGAGTTCCAGAACTGACTGATGATATTTCTACTCTTTCATTGGGATGAATTTGCCCTATACAGAATAGTAAAACAAATTCTATTGATACTGAAAATATTAAGCAATTATTTATGCCTTTTTCCATCCTTGTCTCCCTATGATGGCTATTTCAGTTTTTAGCATTATGTTCTCTCACAATTAGTGTCTTAACCAGGAAAGAAAGGGATCCTGAATGCAATATATATATATATATATATATATATTTTTTTTTTTTTTAATAAGGGAGAAAAATCTTTTTCCAGAATCCATACTTCTGCACTGCATCATCCACTCAACCCTTAAAATGACTGACAAAAGGACTATTACATTTTCATGGTTTATACCAATTATGACCATTGTGTATCTTTTAGGTCTGGGCTCAATTGCTGTCTAAACAAAATCATGATTCTGTTAAGGGAGAAGCAGATTCTGTTACAATGATAAAAACTAAGAACTGGCTGAAACAGGTTTGGCTCAGTGGATAGAGTGTTGGTCTGCGGACTGAAGGGTCCCAGATTCGATTGCAGTCAAGGATATGTACATTGGTTGCTGGCACATCCCCGGTGGGGGGTGGGGGGGGGGAGGGTGCAGGAGGCAGCTGGTCGATGTTTCTCTCTCATCAATGTTTCTAGCTCTCTATCCCTCTATCTTCCTTTCTGAAAAAAATCAATAAAATATATTTAAACAAAAAACTAAGAGATGGTTTAACAGAACATAAATGTACTTATTAATGCAAGTAGCTACCAAGTTATTACTCTTTACCATAAAAAGATTAACCAAAAAATACAGTTCACCAGGACAGTATATCTAATCTGATATAAGATCATTGTATTAGGGGATCAGAAGACTGGTAGTGACTTTTGTTACTTTGGTTAACATTACTTTGATTCACTAGGAATATAATATGGCTTAATGTTTAAGAACCCAGGCTTGGGAGTCAGATTGCTTGCATTTGAGTATTTTTTCCAAGCTGTGCCTTCATATGTATAAAATGAGGGTACTTATATAATTGTAATGGAGATTACCAGTATGTCAGGTAATATTTGTAAGCTCTTTAGCTCAGTATTTGACATATGTGCAAAATAAGTAACTGTTTTTAAGTGATTTTTTTTGTAGTATCTAGAATTGTAATTGTAATATTTTTTTTTTCGGGGGGGGAGGGCGGTGTTTACTATCTTATCTACTACCTCTCCATACCATACTCTTTATGGTATCTGACCTCCAAAAGTATAATCAGTAAAAGAGGCCAGGTCTAACAAGCTTAGGAGGAATAAAAGGAGATATAAGAGAAATCAGCTGGAGGGGTTGGTCATAGAGTTGGTCAAAGGCCAGCTGTGATAAATCTTGGGGGTGCTAGGTTGTAAATAGGACTTTAAAGTTTTTCGGAAAGTAAATCATGCTGAACTCTTAAAAATGGAGGTAAGAATAATTATCAGGCATCACATCCCAAGGTTCAGGGCCTAAAGAGAACACTGGGAAATCCATGAACAGACAAAGAAGAGAGATCGCAAGAGCTATGTGCTATGAATGTATTTTCATACAGGATACTTCACAGCTAAGCTCTGTGACATTTACTTAGGATTTACTTCATTGGGGGTATCTACCAGAATACCATCAGAGGAGAGACAGATATAAGCCTAAGAACTGATAGGATGTGCTGAATTAAAGGAGTTTGGTGAGAAAAGGCTTTCAGAGAAAGCAGGCTTGGAGTATCCTAAACATAGACTAACATCTATTCAGTAATGTTTTACTGTAGATGACCAGTGGCAGGTGCTTTTTTGGAGGAATCTTCTATTTAGTGCTGTACTTGGCCAAGGTTGTTATAGTGACAGAGCTTAGTAACTGAGAGGCAACCAGAGAGGATCCAATAATAATTATGAAAAGAAAGCAAA